GCTTTTATATTCAGAAGAAAAAAAAACCTATCATTTGCAGCACAAAAAAGAGACTCTTTTTATTGTTACTGATCTACAAATATCCATGCTTCCAGAATCTATCTCTCTAACATCCACAATCTATCTCTCTAATCATATATGTCCCCTTTTGTACAGTAAAAATTACAAACTCAAACTCTTCTCTGGAAGTCAAAAGTCAAAAAATAAAAATTTGCCTTAGGTAAAAGTTCACAAATCAGTAAAAACCATCTACTCTGACTAACGAATACATTTACTTAAAACTAAGATAGTTATCAAAAGCTAAAGTAAAAAATATTCACCAGCAGATCAACCAAGCAGCAATGTCTGCTGAACAACTGAAGAAAAAAATTCAGCATCCTGAGTCCAAAAAGATTCCAAATACAAACTAATTTAGTTTGTTAAGAAATTAGATGCCTTTTTTCATGTATTGAACAACTGGCTTTTTATCTGAATAATTAAACATACAAAAATTAAGTTTATTAACCAGAATAAATAAATATGAAATTTTTAGATTTTGTTTATGCTAATCTAATGATAAATTTACATGTAAGTTAAAGTTACTATGAGAAAAACATCTAATAGATACAATAATGTAGCTAAAATACACCGCTAAGTAGTAATTATGTTCTTGGTAACTTTGCCAAGCTTGTTAAGTTTCCAGCATTTTACAAACATACATCATACATACACACCTTAACAATATTCTATAATTTTGATAAATCATTCTTAAATTTAGAACTGTTGTTAGAATAATACACATATTTCATTATATATTATTTCATATTAATTTGTAAAATAAATAGTCAAATCTTTCTGCTTTAGAAAGGTAAAATTACATGCTTCCATATAGCAGAACCCTAAAAATTCAAAAAGTTTGTAGTTTGTCTAAATCAGTATCAATGGCAAACAATTTGAAAGATATCCAATGCCTACCCAAGAAAATGTATTTAAATTTTAAAATTATTTAATAGTTTAGAACAGAACAAGACTAAATTGCCAGGTAACGATAGGATGCATTAACTTCTAGCTCCACCTGCTGGAGTTAGCAAATATTTCAAAATACAATACACAATACTATGGAGCAAATAATTCAACATATTTCCTCACAGACAAAAACCTTCATGAATTTAAATTAGAAAATTAGTGAGAGTTCAGCTATATTCAGTGATTTCCAGAATGACAAAACTAAGTTAAAACCAATATTCCTATTGAAGATCTAATCCAACTATCATATGATATGCTATCAAAAAGTAGCATATCATTTTTCAAAATTCTACCAAGAAAGGGTAAGTGTTAGAGAAGACTACGAGTTTGCTTTCAAGTAGTGTTGTGAGAACTTCAGAATTAGAATAGCACCTGCTTATTTATTTAGAAGAAAGATAAAAAACAAAGAACAATTATTGCAATGAACTGTGGACCATTTTACCTTAATATAACTTTCTTCTTATGACAAAAAAGAAATACATGTTCATTGTATAAATATTATATAGTGCCAATACCAAAAAAATTATATCATATAATCCTACTACTCTAAGAAAAACAGTGAAACCCTTGTATTCAAGATATTTTTCTGTGCACCTACATACACATGCACTTTCTTCTTCTTCTTTTTTTTTTTTTTTTTGAGTTGGAGTTTTGGTTATCTTTTAACAAACTGAATCTCAAATTGGGCAATCATGTCACAGATGTTTGTCTCTGTCTCTCATAAGTGAGTGGATAGCTTAGCAAAAATTAGGAAAAACACCTCAACAACTGAAGAAGTATTATTCCCCTTTATATAAAGCTACAACTTAATTCCATCATCTTTCTATTTTCCAAAATGTTATGATTATTTGGTTTATAATTTAAAACTCATATTACATAAGATTAGTCATTTTAAAGTGAATAAGGCAGTGGTATTTAGTGCATTTGCAACGTTGTGGAACCAGATGTGGTTTCATTGCTTGAGAAAATTAACACATCTCCTGGTATCTGGTATGTAACTATTGATCTTACAAATGCTTTTTCTCTGTCCCTGTTAGTAAAGATCACCAGAAGCAGTTTACTTTCAGCTGGCAAGACCAGCAATACACCTTCTTTGTCCAGCCTCAGGGTTATATCAACACTGCAGCCCTATATCATAATTTAGTTCACAAGGACCTTGGTCATCTTCCTCTGCCACATGATATCACACAAGTTCATTACACTGATGGTATTCTCCTGATTGGAAATAGCAATTGAGAAGTAGCAACTACTCTAAACTTATCGGCAAGACATCTGTGTGTCCAGAGTAGGAAATAAATCTGATAAAAATTCAGGGGCCTTCTATCTCAGTGAAATTTCCAGGGGTCCAGAGGTGGGGCATATAGAGATATCCCTTCTAAAACCTAGGGTAAGTTGTTGAACCTGGTCCCTCCTATACCAATAAAGTGGCACGATAGCTAATGGGCCTCTTGGATTTTGAAATTAATACATTTTTCATTTGGGTGTGTTACCCCAGCCAATTTACTGAGTGACCTGAAAAGCTGCAAGTTTTGAGTGGGGTCCAGACAAGAGCTTACAGAGGTCCAGGCTGCTCTGTAAGCTACTTTGGGCTTAGGATATGTGCCTCAGTGAATCCAATGGTGCCTGAAGTGGCAGTGGCACGTAGGGATGCAATGTAGGCTCATCCACAGACCCTTAGGATTTTGGAGCAATGGCCTGCCATGCTTTGTGGATAACTACTCTCCTTTTGAGAAACAGCTCTTGGCCTGTTATAAGGCTTTAATGGAGATTGAATACTTAGCCATGGACCACCAAGGTGACATGGGACCTGAGCTGCCTTTCATGAGTGTTTTCTGACCCACAAAACCATACATGAGTGTTTTCTGCCCTTCATGAGTGTTTTCTGACCCACAAAGTGGGGCATACACAACAGAGCTCCATCATCAAATGAAAGTGGTATATGACTGGGCCCGAGGAGGCCCTAAAAGGCACAAGTTACATAACGAAGTAGCTCAAATGCCCAAGGTCCCCACTCCTGCTACACTGTCTTCTCTTTCTCAGCCTGCACCTATAGTTTCACAGGAGGTTCCCTAAGATCAGATGGCATAGGACAGATGACAGATGGTTTGCATAAGCTGCAGCACTACTGCCCCTTTCTGGGACATCACTGAAGGACTATGGTGAAGGGAAATCCTTCAGTTGGCAGAACTATGGGCAGTACATCTGGCTGTTTCCTTTGCTTGGAAGGAGAAATGGCCAAACGTGATTATATATCAATTAATGGGCCACGGCAAATGGATTGGCTAGATGGTCAGGGGCTTAGAAGAAATATAATTGGAAAACTGGTGACAAAGAAATTTGGGATAGAGATATGTGAACAGACTTCCCTAAGTAGGCAAAAAAGGTGAGAATATTTGTATCCCATGTGAATGCTCACCAAAGGGTAACCTCAGCAGAGGAGGATTTTAATAATCAAGTGGATAGGATGATCCATTCTAGCCGGGCTCTTTCCCTAACCACCCCTGTCATTGTCCAGTGAGCTCATGAACACAGTGGCCATGGTGGCAGGAATGGTGGTTATGCATAAGCTCAGCAATATGGACTTGTACTCACCAGGGTTACCCTGGCTATGCCCACTGCTGAGGGACCAATCTGTTAGCTGTGATTTTTGTTTTCCAAATCTCCATACTAAATATGTATTTCTTTAAAAACACACAAACACATACATACACATACATTTATCCATGTTAGGGCCTTATTTATCATAAGCAAACAAACAATTACAAAACAAATTTCCACTGGAATGGGGATAACAAGATTTGAGGCCACATGAAAATTCATCTGAAAATGAGGTATCCTAATTTTGTCATCTGCCTTTGCTGTTCAGAAATAATGTATCTAACCTACCATATAACTATCAAATTATATGTCTATAATAAAACAACTATTAACACTAATCACACCAATAACAAATGACATTAATAAAATAATAACCATAACACATAGGAACTAGTAACACAAATTAATAACACAAATAAAATAAAGGAAGGACATGGGCATTATTAGCAAAAAAGATATCAAAATTTCTAAGAGCTATCTCAATTCTAACTGATAATTAAAAATTTTAATTATAACATTTTCTACAATAACTGTAATAATATCAAAGAGCTATAATCAATTCTAACGGATAATTATAAAATGTTAAGACCCTTCAAAAAAGAATTATGCCAGCATATTCTATGGGAGAAAAGAGTTTATACACTAAATTGGTATGTAAAAAAAAATAAATTCTTCAGAAAGAAGAAAAACAGCCTAAATAATTTAATAGCTACCATTTATTAAGTGCCTATTAAGAAACAGTTAATTTACATACATCATTCCTATTCCAAAAACAAATTTGCAAGGTGAGTTTTATTTATCATCCCAATTAAGAGAAGAGGAAATTGCGGTCAGAAAAGAACAGTGACTTGACCAAAGTCAGCAAGAAAATGGCAGACCAAGACTGGAACACCAGTCTATCTGACTTGAAAGCAATCCACCATGTTACCTGTATGTAATAAGTGAGTCACTATGTTTATAAAATCATTTTAAAGTTTGTACTTGACAGAAAGTGTTTTTCCCATTTTATCATATACTTTGAGAAGACTGAAGAAAGCAATAGGTAAACAAATAAAATGTAAACTATGGCTATCTTGTAAGTCTTAAATACAGGTTGAGTTCTTCTGACATATTCAGATAAACCAAAAATCTCTTGCTAAATATTTAAATGAAAATGTGTTTAACAAAATCACTGTAAGTATAAAAACTGCTTATTAATGAAGTAGCAGAAAAAGTCTTTCACAATTAACTAAAAATAGAAATAATAAGTAAAAGCTGGTTTTCTGACCTTATTAAGGACCTAAATGGCTTATTGAAGGAAGTCACAAATTATGAAGGAAACTAAGAAAAATCTAAAATGATAGTGCAGTAAAAAATTAAAATATTAGTTGTGTTGATATTAAGCAATATATACTAACCATGAATCAGGGAGCCATTTAGCCACTGAATATAGTAGTTTTGAGGAAAAGAAAGCAGGATTTCATTGCTGATTATTGAAAAGGGTAAAAGCAAAACAGCCCCAGCTGAAACTGCTAGAGTGAACGTGCTCAAAAACAACCTGGAAGAGAGGAGAGTCATCATCACCAGTGATATGAAAAAGCAATGAACATGGAAGTAATCAAAAGAATACAAACTCTTCAATGTTTCAATTGAAAAAGTATTATATAAGGATTTCATTAAATATATGTAGTTGGAAGACTAATGATATACATATGATGCTAGAAGTTAAACTCGATGTACTCTAAAACTCTTTACTCTATGAAAAGGTCATTAAATCTAACAAATAGAACATAAAAGATATACTGAAGACAGGATACTTCACACATTTTACAAAGAATAAATTGTAATCACATTCTTTTAAATATAAGTATTTATTTCACAATTAAATTGCATTTAATTAACAATTTGACAATATATGCTAAAAGCAATGCAACAACTGCTTCAGGTGAAAAAACTACTTGTGGAAGCAGTATTAAAAAATTAACTTAAAATGATTATTTCAAAGGAAGAAAACAAAGTCATTAGGTTAACATCTCTTGAATGAGTAAAGGTTAAACAAACGATAGTAATAAACAGTAGGAAATTATTAATATTTAAAACACTATTTTTGTCATTTTAAAAAATAAGTAGCTCTAATAGGTACTAATACGGAAAAATACCAAAAATAATTAAGCCAACAAAACAAACCAAAGAAAAGCATGGACAATAAATGATAAACATGCTCTTCCTCCCACCCCCTCATAAATGCACATATACAATCAAAAAAATAGAGGCACAAAAATAATCCAGCATAATATGTAACAATTCCATAAGAAAGAGGAATTATAAGGGGCTTTTTTTTTTAGTTACACTTTTCTGAATTATTTTAAATTCTTACAACAAACACCCAATTTTTTAAAAGATTTTTAAAAGGAAAAAAGGAGCTTCACTATTAAAGACAGAATTTTAATATCCACTCCATTAAAGTTAATATTAGGATAATGTAAAAATAAATGTAAGAAAAAGTAGGAAAAAATACAAAATGCCCCCCAAAAAACACATCTCACAGAGTAACTTTGAGGCCAATGCCATCTTGTGGCAACCAACAGAAGTGTATTACTACCTAAAAGCCAAAAATAACCAGGAAATCTCTTCTGTTCAGCAAATCAATAATAAATTTTTAAATGCAGACCATATGATACATATTAACAATATAAATCAAATTAGACATAGCAGAATTTTTATGAACTGGTTTTGCTGAATAGACAACACATTTCCTGGGAAAAGCGCTCAGACAAGTCCTTGTCTCAGGGTCCACAGACAATTCCAGCAGTGATCTCAAACTTCCCCAGTCAAGTCACTATCATTCCTTCCAGTGCTAAAATTGAGGTCAAATCCAAAAATCTTACCATTCTAGGTCCTGCACAGCTATCCCAGTATAATTTTCCAGGCTCCTTTTCTCACTACCACCCATTTCAACACACACTCAGACTTGCCTAACTTCCACATTTCCCAAACATCAAACGGACTTTTAGGATTCTTTGTCTCCCTGCACAGTCTGCTCACTCAGGATACTTGTGACATACTCTGCATGGCAAACTCATATGAATCTCAAGACAGACCTCAAATGTCAAATTTGCTCTGTGAAGTATTCTGCAACTTCTCTCTTCTTGCTCCCCTCCATAAAATCACTTCCTCTCTCCTCTTGGCTCCCATATACTTTGACCACATACCTAGCAATGAAAGTCAAACATTCTTTCCAACTCAAAACCTGAAACCCATGATCTGACAAAAGAAGTTAGCTGATGGGGGCAAAACAGAAAAAGTACTTAAAGTCACAAGTGACCTACAAAATCCTGAATACAAGGTCACCATAACTATAATGTTCGCTCTTTCAACAAAAAAATTACTAGAATCTATCATACTTTAGAGGCAATTGTGATTGGCCCTGGAGATACAAAAAAGATAATAGCATCATCCCTGACTGCCCCTGAGTAACTCCAAGGATAGCTACTCATAAGAGGCTGAGTGGTGAAACTAAATGCTGGCAGAGAGTGATAGCAAGGATCTGAACTAAAAAAATTTTTAAATTTTTTAAAAAGAGCAACTAAAAAAAATTATTTTTAAGTGCAGTAGAGGTCACTGCTCATGTAACTACTGAAAGTGCCCTTACAGAATTAAAGGACAGTTTCAGAAATTTCACCTTCTGAAATATAGCATTATTTTTCAAAAATTTTGAAAATGCACCTTGTGTAATTGTAGTAGTAGTAAGATAGTGTTTTTCCAAGTATCTGATATTTGTGACTATCTCCTTAATCCAACTAGAAAACCAGAACCTCTCCTCACCTTAATAAGGTGATAAGGGCATATACTTAACCACTGAATATAGCTATAGTGTAAAGAAAGCCATATCTATAGGTCTTTTCAGGGGGATAATAAATTAAAACAATAAGACTATCTTAAATCACTTTAACGTTCCACAAAGCTTTCACATACTTTCACTAGGCAAACAAGAGCCAAGACCCTTGAATCCTGAGTTTCAAATCCCCTGTTCTTAACCATCATCTTCCCAAGCTTTCTGCCATGGTCCTGCCCCTCCTCTACCCCACAGAGCTATCAACAGACACAATTATTCTCTGGTCTGTCAAAGGAAGACGTCTTCTTCCTTCTGCTCATCTGCACTGACCTCTACCTCTGCTGTCCCCAAGGGCCTTGCTTCACTGGTCACTCAACTCTTAACCTTCAGTATCACCTTTCCCTTTAGATGCTTACCTGCCAAAGATAGACACCCTCAAGTATTTCTGCTCTTTTAAAAAGCCTATTAAGCAGAACTTACATACCATATCTTTACTTCTACATCTTCAATTCCTTTCTCCCCACAGCAAAAGGATGTGGTCAAATCCACCAGGGGAGTGTGTGTGCACATGTGTGTGTATGTGTGTCTCAGGGGTGGAGGTCTCACTTTGTTGCCCAGGTTGGAGTGCAATGACACGATCAGGGCTCCCCACAGCCACCAGCTCCGAAGCTCAGGTGATCCTTCTGCCTCAGTCTCTCCAGTAGCTGGGACTACAGGGATCCACCACCATGCTTGCCTAACTTTTTTCTTTTTTTGTAGAGATGCGGTCTCACTATGTTACCTAGGCTGGTCTCAAACTCCTGGGCTCAAGCAATCCCCATGCCTCAGTCTTCCAAAGTGCTGGGATTACAGGTGTGAGCCACACACCTGGCCACAAGACTTTTTTTTTTTTTTTAATTGGAAGTCTCACTCTGTCACCCAGGCTGGAGTGCAACGGCACACTCACAGCCACCCCAGCAACAACCTGTTGGGCTCCAGCAATTCTTCCGCCTCAGCCCTCCAAGAAGCCAGAACTACAGGTGCGCACTACCACACCGGGCTAATTTTTGATCTGCTGTAGAGACGAGGTCTCACCAAGTTGCCCAGGTTGGTCTCGAACCCCTGGGCTCAGGCAATTCTCTCACCTCAGCCTCCCAAGGTGCTGGGATTACAAGCTGAGCCACTGAGCCCAGCCCCTAATTTTTCATTCTCAGATTCAATGTGACACTCTATTGTTTTAAACAAAGAATGAATAAATGCTTTTTTATTTGTTAGTAGTTATTATCAATAAAATAAAAGAACATTTTTAAAACTCCACTATAAAATACAGGTTACCATTAAAAATGTATTTCACAGGTTAATGTTTCTATAGATAGATTTTTTTTTTTTTAAGAGACAGGGTCTCACTCTGTCACCTGGGTTGAGTACAGTAGCGTGATCATAGCTCACTACAGCCTCGAGCTCCTAGATTAAGTAGTTCTCCCACCTTGGCTTCCCAAAGTGCTGGGATTACAGGTGTGAGCCACCACATGTGACCAAAATATATATTTTTTTAACAAAAAGAAAACAATAATTGCATACAAAACCTGTCACCTTACATCTTAAAGTTTAATATCTAACTAAGACTTTTAGAAACAATGTTTGAAACAGTTGGATTTAAGTCATTCAAAATTATTCAGTAAGATGTATGTAGTGTTGATGACAAAGGTTTCGCATTTGGCATTTTTCTTCCACACTCTCAAATATTATCAAAAGTTCTGATTGTCTGGGTAACAGAAAAGAGACAAATTGAGTGACATTTTACACTCATCTGTAAAATGGTGGCATCCCATCCTAAGTCTTCATCCCAGCTAATCAATAAACATTTGCTGCATGAATTAGGCTTCTTAATACCTGACTCTAAACCAGTGGCTCTTAACCAGTAGTAGAGTCAGGATCACCCATGGAGCTTTTGTTAAAGCACAACTCAGAGACTGGAACTCAGTGAGTCTTTCTGGTGGGGCTCACTCACTAGACAAGTATTTACAAAGTACTGACTACTACTCTGTGCCAGGATAGTTCTAGACACTTTAGAACAGTGAAAAAAACAACCAAACATTCTTGTCTGAGCAAGGCTCATACTGGAGTGGGGAGAGTCAGACAATAAACAATAAAGTATTAAATATGTAAATGTGTAATTTATTAAAGATCATAAGTGCTACAGAAATAAAGCTAGGTAAGGATTGGAAGTGGGGAGGAGGACACAGATTTCAATATTAAGAATGGCAGTCAGGAAAGGTCTGTTGAAAAGCTGACATTTAGGGGGAAAAGCAAAGCAAAACAAAACCAAAGGGGATGAGAGAATCAGCTCAGTGTGATAGCTGATAAAAAAGAATTCTGGACAGACAAAACTGGTCAAAAGCCCAAAGGTGGAGGTAACATTGATTTCACACCTATTGTGCCATTAAGCACCCCACCCTAGTTAGATTTTTTTCTTGTATATGTTACTTAATCCACATAACAGTACTAAAAAGTAGGTGGAAATTCTAATCTTACATATGGAGAAAATGAATATCTGTTTCTTAGTCTTTTGTGGACTCAAGTTAATCTTGAGTTCAGAATTTGAACCCAGATCAACCTAACTTCAGTTCTCACTCATTCCATCACAGTGAAAGACAAACAGATCAATTGGGGGGTGGGAGGGACAGACTAGGAAAGATGCCTTCTCTCAGGCAACCTGCCCTCTCGTGCCTCCACCCTAACTTTAATACAACTTTGTATGAACTCACTGACCTTCAGGAAAAGGATGTCTGAACACATCACCATGACGTGAGCAACTGCCACAAGGACACCATATATACCCATATTGACACTAAAGACATTTTTAGGGGTAAAAGAAAAAGTGATATGTTCTTTTCTGTTTATACATTATTTATCTCTGAGTATATTTGAGTAGATTTACCACCACAAGTGGTACACAGACTAAATGGAGAGGAGAGAGGCACATATCTCACTTGTCCTTTATACCTAGTGGATTTCACATGAAAAGACTATATCTACCCTTCATTCAGTCTGTGATTCATTTTAGTTTTTCTGAGGTGAGTGAGTTTTTGCAGAAGCAGTAATTTAAACAAAAATGATGATTCACTTAAGAATTTTCATATATGTCACAGTGCTAAGAATAAAACTAAGACCCCTAATTCTGTAAATTTAAAACACCAAGTTTTGGGTCTAGGTTCCAGAAAGCAATAATTTCCAGTATAAAGCAATAATTTCCAGTATAAAGCTGCAGTTGTTCTTGTTTGTTATCTAACTTCACTATGACATTTAAAATAAATGATCAAATCTAGTAAAGCAAGATCCATTTATATTCATTTTTCAGTTGTGAATTATATCAGGACTGTTCAAGTCATTTATTAGTTGAAAGTATTTTTTAGGAAGGTGAAATTCACATTACATACAATTTTTAAGGTGAACAATTCAGCAGAATTTAGTTTATTCATAACATTGTGCAACCACTACCTCTTTCTAGTTCCAAAACATTTCATCACCCCAAAATAAAATGTCATACGTGCTCCCTGTTCCCCTCCCACTCAGCCCCTTGCAACCATCAATCTGCTTTTTATATCTATTCTGGATATTTCTAATAGATGGAATTATATACTGTGTGACCTTTTGTGTTTAACTGCTTTCACTTTTGTGTCTGTTTTGGAGGTTCATTCATTGGTGATTGTGTGGTAGATATACAGGAGAATGCAGTGTTTACAGGAATTATACATGATAGTATCCTGAGGAAATAAAGCCATAGGTCAGCAACTTCTCAAACACTTCAAGGGAAAAACTCTTTGTATTCTACTACCTTTTCTATCAATGTGAGATTATTTCAAAAGAATTTTATCAATCTAAAAATCCTGGAGTACAGAACTTTCCTAGGTAGGTGCATCTATATAATTTCACATTTTAATCAAGCAAAAACTAATAGAAAGGAACTCACTGCTTTTCATTCAGTTTGATATTTCAATAAAATCAAAAGACATCTATATCATATCTCACCAGTGTACATAAGGAACCTAAAAGATAATCTGGGCTCATCTCCCCACTCACAGCAGGTAGAGGTTCATAAACCAGGGGAGATGACTGTTCCCTCACTCAAGAGCACCACAGTCTTCTCAGCAGACCATTCAAATAGCCAAGAGTTTTATTTCTTATGATCCAGCAATTTTCCCAAGCTTAAGTCCATTTCCTCATTAAATTTTCTGAAGATAAAGTCGGTCAGCTCCTTTAAAGAGCAAATTTTAACAGGAAATAATCAATCCTCAATTATCCACATATATTTGCCTATATGTGTTTTCCAAAAATAGTATTAATATTAATAAAGATTGTGTAATGCATTAGGTAATTTTTTCCATATATCTATCCAAAAATTAGAACTGAATTTTGAGAATTTATGACTTCAGAATTAGAAACTGAATAATTAAACTTTAAAATACATACGAAATCCTATTGACTATGGCATCTTCATCTTCTTGTTCATCTGCAAAAATGTTTAAGGTATTAATATTCTGTTACTTAACAACAAAATATTTCATTAGCTTATTTAAAAAACAGAAAAACATAAACTTCAAAGGGAAATTACCAAATAGAAGCAATTTTCAAAGAGCACTGCATTTATTTCAGCACAGATCTAAATTTAAATCTCATTAAATCAAGCAGTAGGATGGTATATAGTTAGATAATGGAATGTTCTGATTCATAAAAAATCTTAATTAACAAAACTACCATATGTAGATTAAAATTTCTCACATATTTAGTGCTCAAGAAAATAAAACTTAGTAGAAACTTAGAACCACTGTGAAACATTGTTATACAATGTTAAGTGAAACTGCTAATGAATAAAATTTTCTGATTGATAACAAACAACAAAAATTTTTACCACAAGATTAAAATTCAGAACCTTAGAACTCATCTAATTTTCTATAGTTTGAGTTTGCCATTAGTAACAGTAATAACAAGGACTCACTTGAACCATTCTAAATAACCTTGACTATCACTGCCTCAGTAATCCAGAATTATTGTTTAAATTACAGACAGAAATATATTAAGTCTTTTGTATCTTTTTTAGGTCGCAGATGGCCTTCACTCCCATACTCACTCACCCTCCCCTCTCTCTCTCATGCCTGTCAGCCATCTCCTTTGTCCTCCCATAAACTTTCCAGCTAAAGAGACAATGATCAATTATAAGAATACTACAAAACACTCCTGGTCCCTGCTTCTTATATATCTAATGTCCTCAAAGGCTCTCTCCTTAGGTCCCTAGAATTCTGAGTGTCCACCTCTGAGTGCCAATGTGTATTTGAGCCATTCTGTCAGTCAATCTCCATTCTTAATTACATGATGTCCCAAACAGTTTTACAACCAAAGGGGCCACTGCTGTGCCCATATCCAATCAATCATCAAGTCTTAAAGAATATTTTATACATTTCATTTCTATTCCCAACACTCTACCAACTAGATCCAGGGTCCTTATCACTCCTCCACCACTCCTGGATTACTCTAAAAATCATCTAGGAAATTTCTAATTTTCCCATTCATCATTCTCTAACTTCTCTTAAAATAATGTACTTTTATTCATTTTCTCTCTCCCTCCTTCTGTGTCTATAAATTATGTAACCAAGCCAAAATACCTTTAAAAATAGCTAAGATACTGTTTTGAATCTGTAGGTCTTCAAGTTTTTGAGAGATTATAGAATCCACCAAAATTTCAGGGCAGTCACAGAGCCAAGTAATAGTACTAAAGTAATACACTAGAGCAAGCTATGTCTCTATTTCCCTCAAAAATCTGACAAGCTTAAGTAGATAATATAAAATTTAAAAATCCTTAAGTATTTATATAGCACCTACTGTTAGCCCAGTATCACAGGTAGATAATCTCATGATTTCTAGAAAATATCTAGGGTTTCAACAAAAGGCAATAAGGTAATTACCCTGGTACTTATAAAACCTGACCTAAAAATCTGTGAATTAATGAACACAAAGTTCATTTTAAAAGGAGTAGAGATATAGTGGTCCCTCTGGCTAGATAAAGCTATATGTGAAATAATAAAAGAATAATACAAGATACTACATAACTGGATACTAAATAGTATTACAGAGACTCTAAATTCAATACTTCTTTAGGGAAAGAAAAGATATTCTAGTATCTGACAAAAAGGGATGCGATGTGGGTGAATAGAATGTTCAAAGTCAGAGCTGGTCACAAGGAACCAAACAGCCTCATAAACTATGGAATTTCCCAGATGCTAAATTGTTGGGAGCCGGTCACGGAGGCCCACTGAGCGTTTGGGATCAGGAAGGGCTGTTGACCCTGAGACCACTAGGCTGCGTTCAGGAGTTGTTGACCCCATTTTCTCTCCCTTTTCTGCCTAGCACTCCAGCCAGAAAAAACTCCTGCAAGCTCAAGCATATAACTCTGAGACCGGGACGAACACAAACTAACTTCAGAAGCTCATTGTTCCCATTTTTCCACAGACTGTGGTTTTGGTTTTCATACTACTTACAGTTCAAACTTAGGTCACATTGAGGAGCCTTAGTGTTGGCCACAGGCTTTTTGTATGTGATCTTAAGATTATAGCAATATAAGTTTTGGAAAACAGGTTATAGAGATAAGTTTTTAGGTAACCATTTTGTTAAAAGAATGCGGTCAGCCTACTTCAGGTTGGGCCCACCATGAACTTTGGACTGGGTCACATTCCAAACATTCTTGGTTAGGCCACCTCAGGTTGTAAGAGTGATTGTTTAAGTTTCAATAGGATTGTTTAACTTGGCATTAGCATAAATTAGCATAGAATGAAAAAGGTTTATAGGATAGGTTAGTCACAGATTAAGGTTAGCGCTTGTAATGGGTTTTTTAGGTTATTGATTATAGAAACACTGTGCTTTAGGAAGGTATTGTTTCATTGCTTTTGAGGAACATTAACCAAGCATGAGGAGCAGAAAGACAGTTTTGGGTTTGTTCTTCCTCATGCCTGAAGGAACATCGGTGGGTGGGAGAGACACCCCTCATATACCTGGCTGTGTTCACGTGAAAGACATGTAAGAATGACTTTGCAGAATTTGGGGATAAAAGCCCACTGTAAACCTTCAATAAATGGCTTCTGCTCATCTTGAACAGTAGTTCAGTTCCTTTCTTTCTCCCCAGTCCCCTTCTTTCTTCTCCCTAGTTGCCTACTCCATCTCACCTCCAGGAACCTCTGAACCTTGCAGGAGCTAGACTCCCGGACTAAATAGCCCAGCACTATTCTTAGTTGGACATAAGAATTGTGATAAACAAGGACTCTAGTCTAAGAGGATGGCTCTAAGAGTAGTCAAATTCCCTAGACGTTATTTTTAGTTATCTTAGTACCAGGCAACTGCTTACTTCAATCACCAACATAGTCAATATACTACACCACACTAAAGTATATTGATATGCCCCTATATCATGCCTAGACCATTTGGCATTACAATAAGAGTTTTAATTAAAATGCTTCCACTTGCCTGATTTTCTCTTGTATCTTGTGATGATGAAGTAGGAAACAATGTAGAGAATGGCAAAAAGAAGGAAACATATCTGAAACAACACAAATTTAATAGGTCATTTACATTTTTGCATATCATTTTTAAACAGAAGACACAGCTTTGATATTTAGGGAAAAAAACAAAAAATTAAAAAGTAAAAATGTACATTTTACTAATATAAAGTTTTGATGAAAAATTTATTTATGTGAATTAGTCATTAGCCCAGTTTAATACCATTCCAGAAAAAAAGCCCAATGGAGATTTTTTTCCATAACTTGATCATATGTTTTTCAAAATCATGTGGAAGTGTAAAGAACCAGATCATTGCTAACACTTCTGAAAAATAAGTCACTAAGAGACTACTACTACCCTTACCAAATGTTTAAACATTATCAAAAGCCTCAAGGCATTTTATTTTTTTTTTGAGTTGGAGTCTCACTCTGTCACCCAGACTAGAGTGCAGTAGCCGCTCCTGGCCACCACAGCCTCGACCTGCTGGGCTCTGGCAACCCTTCCGCTTCAGCCTTCCAAGTAGCTGGAACTACAGGCACATGCTACCACGCCCGGCTAATTTTTGGTTTATTGTAGAGATGAAGTCTCGCCAAGTTGCCTGGGCAGGTCACGAACCCACGGGTTCAGGAAATCCACTCACCTCAGCCTCCCAAAGCGTGGGATTACAGGCTGAGCCACCGAGCCTGGCTCTCAATGCATTTTAAAGAATATGCTGGAGATCAGCTGGGCGTGACCGCTCCTGGCCACCGCACTCCAGTCTGGGCAACAGAGTGAGACTCCAACTCAAAAAAAAAAAAAAGAATACGCTGGAACCATAAACTGACAGATGAATGAAATAGATTTCATTACATAAAAGTTTAACATACAAGAGGTATCATAAATCAATGTGAGTAGAAAATAATTAGTCAATAAATACAGCACATATCAAAATAAATGGCAACTGAACAAGAGACGTTTTAAAATAATACAATTAAGTTATATTTTTAATTTTTATTTTTTAATTGACAAATAAAAATTGTACATATTTATCAAATGCAACATATTTTGAATATATATACATTGTGGAATGGTTCAATCAAACTAACATTGTACTACTTCACATATTTATAATTTTTTGTGATGAAAACACTTAAAATCTACTCTTAGTGATTTTCAAATTATTATAATACATTGTTATTTACTATAGTCATCAGGTTACTCAACAGCTCTGGAACTAATTCCTTCTAACTGAAAATTTGTATCCTTTTACCAACACTTCCCCAACCACTCACCCTCAACCCCCAGCAACCACCATCCCATCCTACTCTCTACTTTCATGAACTCAACATTTTTAGATTCCACATATAAGTGAGATCAGGAAGTACAGTATTTATCTTTCTGTGCCTGGCTTATTTCCTTAACATAATGTCTTCCAGGTTCATCCACATTATTGCAAATGACCAAGGACTTATTTCTTGTTTTAAAGCTGAGTAGTATTTCATTGTGCATATATACCACATTTTCTTTATCTAATCCTCCACTGATAGACATAGTTTGACTCAACATCTTGACAACTGTGAATAATGCTGGAAGGAACATGGCAATGCAGACATCTCTTCAACATATTGATTTCATTTATTTTGAATATACGAGGGGGGAACCCAAAAAACTCTGGAATTTATTTATAAAAAATTATTTATTCTTACATGTTTAAACTTCAGTCACCTTCAAGTGCTCTCCATTTGACGCAATACGCCTATGGAGATGCTTTTTCCACTGCTCAAAACAGTTTTTGAACTTGTCAATTTTTGATGCCTTCTAGTGCTTCTGCGTTTTTTGTCTCACCTCTTCCACATCAGCAAAATGTTTTCCATTGAGGACTCTTCATCAGCACACACAAAAAAAGTCACTTAAAAAAAAATCACTTGGGGAAGAACACATGAACAGGGAGCGTGGGGCATGAGGGTCATGCTGTTTTTGTTCAAAAGC